CTGTACTACCTATATCTTCCTTCTCACTCATGAGCCGTTTTCAGTTTTAAAAATTTCACTCTCCATTTTTGCGATACCGCCAGTGCTGCCACTTTGTGAGTAATTCCTCAAAACGTGAGGAATTTCGGGTGCGCTTGAGTATTTTTTGAGGATTTTTATTTTGAGGAATTTTTTTGTCTTGATATATTTGCATATAACAAATCGGTGGTCCTCTGCAATAACGGCACAACTCAAAATTTAATGTTTTTGAGTTATATAGCGGATTAGGTTTATAAATAACCATATTTTTCTGTGGCAAATCGACATAGGCTTAGTTGTCACCAATCCGGCAGAGGCGCAGTTTTTCCATTTGACACAACACCGAAGTAGCCAAACCCACAGTATACAGTAATCCAGATAGGCAAAACAAAAAATGTAAATATGCTTATTTGACAATTTGTTTGAATGTATTGGATGGTTCGTCGTTTTCGTTAACCCAAATGAAATCAAATTTAATATTTTCTTATAGTGAAAAATATTTTCAAGTCACATAAAATAAAATAATGAGAAAAATGCAAAATTCCGGGAAATGAGGAGTGAAGCGTTAGCGATTGTGACCGGATGTAATTCCTGTATAAGTCATACCGCATTCGGAACACAGCTTTGAGTGAATAATTGAATGAATAAGGACTGACTTTGGAAAATGGTCCCATCGATTTGAGATGACGAGAAGAATTGGTTCAGCCGTGTCTGTATGTAAACACGCTAACTCGAACAAAATTAAGATATTTTAACGAAAGTCGGTGCCGAAGTTGCCTTTGGTATAATTTAGGTTAGTATTAAATTTTGGCGAAATCTGTCAATAACCACGCCCACCTCCCATGTAGTAGTTAACAATACTTTTGTTTTATTATTATTGTTTTTATGAATTTTGCTGTTTAAATTAACATTTCGAGTATATCAACAAACATTTGTGGGTACTTTTGCACCAGCCGTTGCCTATGGGTTAATGACAAAAAAATCCTACACATACACAATATTTCATGTATTAATTTTCAAATAAGCATATTGTCAATGGATGGTTTACTGTATACTGTG